CGGGTGGTGTCTTCCCAACCCCTTGCAATTCAAAACTCATGGGTGATTTTTGTGCATTTCTGTAAGGGCTTTTCATCAGATTTCAGACCCATGTGGCAAACAGACACTGAGCTGAGGAGTGGAAAGAATGGCAAGGTTCTGTTCCTCAGGTGAAACAACACTTGAGAGGCATTAAATAATCATTCTGCCCTGTTAATTTAGTGTACGTGTTTCTCTCTCCATCTGTGTGTGTGTGTGTGTGTGTGTGTGTGTGAATGCAGATGGAAACTATCTATAGATGGAATTGGTTTTTGCAAAGGTCATGTTATGGCTTTCTGTTTGAAACAGAGGAGAGCACATGGCCAACACTTCTCTCTTTGAAAAGGTGCCCACATTAGATCTGCTGGGGAGCTTAGGGCAAACCACGTGGCTGCCCTGCGGCAACATTCGGAAATTCCCCGCGTGGAGCTGCCGCAGCGCGGGGCGGGGCCAAGGACCGCCCGCAGCGGGAGGAGCCCGCAGGTGGGAGGAGCCCGCAGGTGGGAGGAGCCCGCAGGTGGGAGGAGCCCGCAGGTGGGAGGAGCCCGCAGGTGGGAGAGGAGTTCCCTTGTCCCTCGGAGTGAGGTGGACGCGGCTGCGTGGGGACCCGGACGCTCTGGGGCCTGCTGTCCCTCCGCGCAGGGCGGGGTCGCTGCATGAATGAGACCGTCTGAGAGTGAATGAATGACCCCAGTCTTCCTCCAAGTGTTCCCTGCTGAGCACTCTGTGATTGCTCCGGATAAAGGGGGTTCCTCAGCCTGATAATTTGAGGAAAACTGCGTGGTATTGGCTGTTCTTAGGGATTCATAATAACTGTCTCCATCATTTAGGTCTCTGGGCAGTTCTGCCATGAAAGTACTCGTTTAACTTCCAGCCAGTTAAACCTGATTTAGGACCCCCCCCCCCCCCCACACACACACAACGTCCATTACACTCACAACTTTATTGTAGGTACTTTGAGAAACAGGTTAACAAGAAGTTCTAAAACCTTTAGTCATATTGAGGCACCTGAATCCAACTAACAGCCATCAATTTTATATATGGATAAATCCCTATTTTCTGAAGAATCATCCTGTGCAATAGTCTCCCACACCAAAAGAAAAAGAAATAGAAGAAAACAAAAAGTAGCCACCAAGCAGAATGGCCTCAGAGACAGAGACAGAGAGAACACAAAAGGTAGCTGGCGGGTGGCAAAGGAAGGGGAGGAGGGCAGGACACCTGTGGGGGGTGGCGGCGTCTAAGAAAAAGGTGAGCGTCAAACAGATGAGGATGAAAGCTCCGAACCCAACGTCGCTTTTGTGAGAAACAAACATCGTGTGCACTTGTAGGATAGAGATGAGGATGCATCGGCCGTGCCTTGAGCTCCTCTTTCCCTAAGCACGTTTGAAAGTGATGCCACGACCTTGCCAAGCGCGGGTTCTAGGCAGATCTTCATGAGCTAATTAGATCCCTTTCTCCAGTGAATTGCCCCAGGAGACAAGAGGGGACTTCGTGAATATGTCCCCAGGAGGAAGGGTCCAGCCAGCTGCTGATGAAGCATATGAAGGGGAGGGGGTTTTGTTCCTCATTTGCATCTTCTCAAGGGGTGTGTGTGTGCGGGGGTTTAACAGGTCTGCTTGGGTTCAGCTGTGGGAAGTGCCCAGCCATTGAAGGGGTAGGGTCAGACCCCCTTCCAGGAATATCTCAGGCATGAGAGGCCTCAGGAGGCCACCCCAGCACCCCAGAACGAGAAGCCCCCATTAAACTCTGGATGGCTTCCTCCTCCTGCTCTGCTCTTTTGCCCTGTGAGCAAACCCAGGTCCCCTGCAGAGGGGAGAGGCAACCAGTGCATACAAAGCAGCCTCTCTGAGTTCCCCTCCCCCCCACACTTTGATTGAGGTTGACAGCAGGCCTGTAAGTATTTCCACCATCTCGGTGGGGAGCCGATCTCTGTCAGAGGTTTCAACTCTATTTGCAGGGACTCCGGTGGCAAGGAGAGTTTTTGTTCTGACAATCAGAATTCCAGCAAACGGCAAATGTGTCTTCACGCTGAGAAGTGGGAAATTCAATAATACTTTGCCTGGGTTCATGCTGCGTAGCAAATACAGAATGAATGTGGAGAGGGACCCTGACTTGAACAGAAAATCCGCTGGCCCGGGCGCTGGCGCCACCAGCGTGGGCTCTGAAGCCCTCTCCTCTACCCCGTTCTCCAGGGTCCCAGGGCTGTTTGTGTTTGTTCCTAGAGTGTTTTGTGCCGCAATCCCTTGTTTACCCTAAGAAACAGAGTTAAGCACTCTGAGATCTTAAAAAAAAAAATCTCTGTTCCTCTGCGTATTCATTATTATGTCCTGCAAGACCATTTTCTGAAAGTCTTTACGTGTTAGCCTAGCTCAAAAGGCAAAGCTGGGCCTGGCCGGTGTGGCTCAGTGGATTGAGCATCGTCCCATGGACTGAGAGGTCTGGGTTCCATTACCAGTCAGGGCACATGCCTGAGTTGCGGGCTTGATCCCCAGTAGGGGGCGTGCAGGAGGCAGCTGATGGATGTTTCTCAAATCCATGTCTCTATCTCTCCCTTCCTCTCTCTCTAAAAAAAAATAAAAATAAAAACATATTTTTAAAAAAAGGCAAAGTTGGTGTGGGTATTCTGGAGCTTGTAGTTACAGAATCACTGATTATGCTTGAACGGTTCCTTCTTAAGGGTCTGGTTTCAGAGGGGCTCCTAGAATGGAAGCCCCGAGAAGGCAGGGGTTCTGTCTGTGTTGCTCATGGTCTCGTCAGCAGGACACAGGTTCTCTAAGGAGCCCACGAATGAGTATTACTCTGCAGGCTGTCAAATGCAGTCTCAGCTACCAACTCTCTGAGATGCACAGGACTACAGCCCGAATAAACTCAGTTTTACTGACGTTCTCTCATGCGTGATTTTGTAGAATGGCGCTGATCTACGATTCCATAGAAGACATTTTTAGTACTATGCTTCTTTGTAAAAAGTTGCATCACTCCAGCCTGACTATAATGGAAAAATCAGAAAGCGTCAATAACCAACAAGAAATAAAATAGCTATATTTATGCTACTCAGAGATAATCACTGCTATGCTTTACATATGTGTTCTTACTGTTTCCTGTGCATATATTTATGTTTTTATAGTAATAAGGATAGATTATCTATACTGCTTTTTTCATTTACATGAACCTGCATGTTTATTAATAGACATCTATATCATTTTCCTGTAGTATCACAGTAGTGTACTGTAAGAATGTGCCACAACTTCACCAGGTCCCTGTGACCACACTGAAGTTGTTTCTAATCTTGATTGCACATGCCATGCATTTTCCTGTTACTGGAAGAGATTGGCAAAGCTGGTTTATCTCATTTAATGGAGCCAACCCCCAGTCCTGGTCCTCCGAGCTGGTGTTCCGGGCAATGACTCAGCATCTCCGCTTCTCCACACCTGCCACCTAATTGTTTCATCTCACCTGTTTGCAGTGATCACTTAACCTGGTTTTACCTTGATTCACTTTTACAAGGTCTCCAGCCCGAGCAGGAAGGGGACAAGGCTGGGCAGGTGGTGCGGGTACCTCAGAATCAATCGTAAGGTGGTTAGATTGCATTTCATCCTGTGATTCCCAACCTCTTAAATTATCTTGAAAGTCTGCATACATTACGTTTCACTCCTTGTGATACCAAGCTCTCTGGGCTCTGACAGACATATGGCACATGTATCCACCTCTCCAGTACCTGTTGCTGCCCCCAAATCCCCAGTGCCTCACCTACTAAACCCTGCTCCCCGCTTGGAGCCCTGGCGACACGGATCCTTTGGTCGTTTCTATCGTATTGCTTTTTCAGGATTGCCCAGTGCATGGGATCACACCGCAGGTGGACTTCTCAGACAGGCAGCTTTCACTTAGCAATTCAGGTTTAAGACGTTTCTCCGTCTTCAATCACGGAGCGATGCTCCCTTGTCGAATGCACTGCCGTTGGCTTCCCCGTTTAACTATCGAGGGACATCTCGGTGGCTTTCAGTCTTGGGCAATTGTGACTCAACTTCTATGAAACGCATGCGCAGGTTTTTATGTGGACATACGTTTTCAAGTCAGTGGGGGGCTCCCTAGGGGCAGAGCTGCTGGATCGCACGGTAAGACGATGTCGAGCTTCGTAAGAAACTGCCACGCTGGGTTCACAGCCGCAGCAGCAAGACCGAGAGCTCCCACCTCTCCGCACCCTCCGGGTACCAGCAGCCTTTAAACTTTAATTTTACCCGTCCTCACCGGCGTGTAGCATCGATCACGGTTGTTTTAACGTGCGAATCCCTAGCGCAAAGAGTTGTTGAGCGTGTTTCCTATGCTTTTTTTGCCACGTGTATATCTTCTTTGGTGAGGAGTCTGTTCAGATCTTTTGTTATTTTGGATGCGAGAACGTTACACATGTTTTTTTGTTTTTGCAAAATTTTCCCAATGATGCACTTTGTGTTACCACTTCAGGACTGTGTGACGTGACGTAAACTGATGTACATACAGCTGGTCCATGACCCGGCTCAGCTCACTTCTGTTTGCCCTGCTCGTCCCCTAAGTGACCCCACTGCCCCCTCACTTCCTTACCCCCGTCCATTCCTTAGAAAAGAACTTCACATTCCGGGTCATCGCGGTCTGTCCCTAGGAACTGGTCTTTATTTAGAGTGAGTGGCCAGGTGAAAAGGTGCTCATGCATCTGTTTGATTCGTCCGTCTCACTAAGATTCCCAGCGAGAGTCTGACACCGTGCCTGTGGTCGTGAAGCCGGGCAGGTCTGGGGTGAGCAGGAGTGACGTCACTGCCCGTGGTCGTGAAGCCGGGCAGGTCTGGGGTGAGCAGGAGTGACGTCACTGCCCGTGGTCGTGAAGCCGGGCAGGTCTGGGGTGAGCAGGAGTGACGTCACTGCCCGTGGTCGTGAAGCCGGGCAGGTCTGGGGTGAGCAGGAGTGACGTCACTGCCCGGCTAACGGCTGTCTCTCCCTTTGCTTGGCTCCAGTCATCAAGCCTCCGCTGCGCCACTTCAAACGCCCCGCCTACGCATCCAGCTCCTACGCACCGTCAGTCCCGAAGAAAACGGAGGCACACCCCGCAAAGTACAAGATGCTGGATCAGAGGATCAAAATGAAGAAGATCCAGAACATCTCACATCACTGGAACAGGAAATAGGTCCGGGAAGAGAGGGGGTGGAGGAGGGGCCGGCGCTGCCTCTCAGCACTCCCCAGCCACAGCGAGGTAGGCCTGCAACGCCCTTGGCGGCCCGGAGGCCCGGGGGGCTGGTGCCATGGGGCTGAGCCCTCCTGGGCAAAGTGAGGGCGTGTGTGGTTTCCCCTTTACTGTTCTGTTATCGACTCATCAGCCGCTGGATTGGGGTGGGGGTGGGGGGTCAATGCAGACTCCCCAGCAAACCAGTAAGCAAGTTGTCTCATGTGGCTTTTATTGCTCTTTTTCAAAGTCATTGGGACCAAGATTAAAATGTTGCAACCTGTTCAGAAAAAAAAAGAAATTCCTCCCCTTGATACTATTTTTATCCCCGGAAGTTGGCTGGCTCCAATAAAACTAGTGGTTTAGTGATCCTTGTATTTAAGAAATGCACTTCTAAAACCATCCTCTTAAAAATTTAAATGCAATATTTAAAATTCAAATACACATGTCCCTTTCCAAGTAAAGGCGCTCACATCAAAAGCTGGGCTTCTGCATGAAACACTGCTGGAGGGGAAGGAGGACTGCGAATTGGGTTCACAGATGTTTCTGAGCTCAGGCCTCACCGAGCAGACCCAAGTTCAAAGGGAAGACCAAGTTCAAAGGTTCTCCCTGGTGCCTTGGGCCTCGCAGACTCCTGTGGGCTCTGCGAGTCTACAGGACACAGTAAGATGACCCTGACCTTCACGCACAGCGACAGCGCTAGAAACCGAGGCGCTGGTGCCTCAGACATTCCAGGTCTGAAATTTCAGGTCCTCCCCGCAGACGGTGTCTGTGCGTCCCTCGGGGCTCAGCTGCCCTCAGGGTGGTCTGCAGAGTGAAAGCCTACAGCTGGCTCTCGACTCTGGCAGCCGCTCGGGGCCAGCTGGGTCTCCCCTGGGGTTTTCACTTTGGGAGTAAAGTCCCAGACATTGTAAGGACAGGTTCAAGGCCAGAAATAGCTTTTGATCCCTTTAGAAACAGTCCAGGCAGGGAACTTCAGGCTTATTGTCGGGCTGCTCTGCTCTTCGGGTCTGTCCCGTGTATAACTGGTTGCGGGCGCTCAGTCGAATGGCAAAATCGAGCCTCAGTTTGCTTAGTAAAAGTGGGACCCGTCACGTCCACTGTGCCTGTGGCGATGAAGATTAAGGGTACGGGCGGTTCCGATGCTGTAGCTGAGCCCGGACAGTGATGGGGCACCACAGGTGTCGCCACGAGGATCCCACATCCAGGAAAGTGTCTTCAGGACACAGCCCCTCCACAGAGACAGAGCTGTGCGGCCTCTGGGGTCTGACGGTACCGTTTCCTGTCCTCTCTTTCCTTCTCCGAAGTTCGGTTCCAGTGAACAGGTTATGCACCTGAGCCGGCTCCAGAGTTGAGTGCCCATTCTCCTCTCGAGCGATTTATTTCCAATGTGCTTTGCGATGGTTTTCCTGCGAACTTCAGTTACTAGACACAAAGGAAAAGCTTTGTTAGGGAAGCAGCTGTGATTCCTAGTCCCTGCTTGGTGCCCGAGCAAGAGCGCCCTTCTGCAGGCTGGTGTGCCCGTCCCACCGGGTCAGGTTCGCGCAGCAGGTCCTTCCAGCTGTTTGCAGACAGAGGCCTTGGTGCCTGCTGCCATTCGGCCACAGTGAACCTGCCCGTGGGGTAGTGGCTTCCTTGCTACCCAAGAGACTGTGGACGGAAAAGGGACAGTGGAGTAAAGCTATCCTAACGAAACCCCACGGGGCGTACTGACCACACACCCCACTCAGCAGGTCATGAGGGGCAGTCACGCACAGACATGTACCTTTGCCTTGAGCAAGCCCTGCACGTGCACCTGGGTTACCAGGCTTCTGAACCCCCCCCCCCTTTCCAGACCACCCTCAAGAGAGCCCACCATCTTGCTAACGACCCTGTAATCCGATCCTGCCTTGTTTTCCCCGCCTTCCTGTCATCGTGTGTTCTCTCCTCAATTCCAAATGCATGAGACAAACTGCAGACTGGCCGTCTGGGAAGCACTTTTCTGCCTGTTGAGACCTCGCTTCCAGGCGTACCTCTGTTTGGCTCAAATAAATGCTAATAAACTTATATAAAAAAAAATTTTTTAAGTCAATGTCAGCGTAAGAACATCCCAACCTGCAGAACATTTTCATGACGTGGACATCAGCAGGGTCAACCACTGCTGACGTCCCTCGTCCGTCCCCACACCTTCAGCCTCAGCGGAGACGGCACGGGGACTGTGCTTGGTCTCGAAGCTGGAAGCCACGGTCCTGCGGAAGACAATTAGCTCCCTCTGTACTCTTTGATCCCAAGACGTTATTTCCACCTCGGCTAATGTTTTAATTGAGCAAATGCCCAGATACTGAGCTTCTGCTTATAAAATGCCTACCATGTTAATTGCATAATGGATTGTATAGAAATGCCAGAGTATATATTCTTATAGCAAATAAAGAGATGCTTTTAAAGGACTTCCTTGTATGTGAGTCATCTTTTTCTTCTCCAGGATTCTGGGATTCACTGGAAAAGAGTTAGATTTCTCCTGTGCTTGGCACTGTTCAGTCCTGAATATCTTGTCAAGATGAGTAGTATCATGTACCCTTTTCAATCTGCTTCCTGACTGTGCAGTCGATAGCTTAAAAAAAAAATTCCTCCTCTACCCTACAAACCCAATAAATTAATTTGTTAATATGAGTAACCCATTACAGCAGCTAGTCCGAAGGAAAAACACCTGTGCATTAACCAGGTTGATCATTCCAGGCTAAGCCGTATAGCTCGTGGTTACGAACACGGACTCGGGGCTTAGAAGAACCTGTGATTAAATCTTGACCCTTGTCTTTTGTTTGTGCTGTGAGCTTTACCAGGTTTGGCAATCTCTGTGAGTTTTATTTCCTCAGCTGTAAAACGGGGATACCAATACTTCCCGACTCAGCATAGCACTAAGGGCTAAGCACATACTAAGGACTCAACACCTATCAGCGATGGCCTCTTGGAGTGTAGTATAAAGAAGTGTTATGACATCAGGTAGGTCGTTAATGTTCTTCAACCTCAGTGAAAAGAAGTGGCTACTTTAATGGTCTACTGCCCACCGGGCTGTCCCCACAGGCATGGCTCTGCGTCACACTGCACTTTACTCTGCAGCAGGCATTCGTACATTCAGTGGGGAACCCAATGTCCCCTCCCTCAGTGCTTCACTCACGTCCCTGCGCTCTTGGAGTTCTTGGGCCTCCACCTAGTTCTGTTGTGACTACTCTTTTTTTTTTTTAATCCTCACCTGAGGATATTTTTTCATTTACTTTCAGACATAATGGGAGGGGGGAGGGGAGAGAGAGAGAGAAACAGTGATGTGAGAGAGACACATCAACTGGTTGCCCCCTCCATGACCCCAACCAGAACTGGCTGGAATCAAACCCACGACTCTTTGGCCTGCAGACCGACTCTCTAACCGCTGAGCCAAACCGGGCAGGGCTGTTAGGGCTACTCTTCCTCTGTGTTCCACATTCTCTGAGTCCCCGACCGCCTCCCTGCTTCTCACCTTTGACCACCGCTGTCCTTCGTTTGCTGCTACCCACTGGTCCCCACGTGCGATTCCTTGGTCCTCCCGGTTCCACCAGTGAGTCACCCCCTGCTGCGCCTCCATTTGAGTTCTCTGCAGGTTCACACCTGTCCACAGCTTCATGCGTCAAAACCGCAGTTGATTCAGAAAAAGGAAGGTATGGTTAAAGGTTGAAACGTCATTATACTTTTCTAAAACAAAAAAATGCCTGCGCTGCTCACATGCGACTGTTTCATCTTTAGACTCAAAATTCCCAGAGAAGAAAGAAAGAGAGCTCTAAGCCTCACCTTTAAACGTAGGTAGTTTCCCTAAGTCATTCTCTCCCGCAAACATCTACGGTGGAGGTTCCGTGTGACCCCAAATTCTGGAAACAAGTCCCCGGGCGTGGTGTGGTCTCATCATTTCCTAGAACAGGCTAGAAATGCGCTCAGCGGTGTTGCATTGGGCGACACAGTGCAGTCTGCAGTCTCCCTTCGGAAAAGAGTCTGAATGTTAATAAAGGCCCATGAGAGGTGTATCATTAAAAAGGCATCACAGCCCTGGCCAGTTTGGCTCAGCGGTTAGAGCGTTGGCCTGCGGTCCAGAGAGACCCGGGTTCGGTTCCCGCTAAGGGCATGTACCTTGGTTGCAGTTTGTCCCCGGCCCTGGTTGGTCGTGCGGGTGGCAGCCACTCGATGTGTCCCTTTCACGTCGATGTTTCTCTCTCTCTCTCTGTTCCTCTCTCTCCCTCCCACTCTATCTGAACAAAAAGTGGAAAAATGTCCTCGGGTGAGGATTAAAAAAAAAAAATTAAAATAAAAAGGCATCACAGGTGCTGGCTCATTTCTGGGAATGAAGTTGCAACCATGCTGAACTGGGGGCACAAGGGCCTGGGGAAGACATACGCTTAAAAAATTATATGGGTTTATTTCATTTGATGGTATCAAGTTACAGAGCTAATCCTCTTAGATCACACACATTTCTTGTGCTGCACTGCCCCCTGGTGTCCTTTAGAGGTAATGCCGATTGCTTTTATGGGGGGGGGTCAATATTGAATCTCAGAATTCTAAAGGGCGAGCGGCTGTGGAGAATAGAATTTCATTTGGGTTATAGTGCCGCTACATTTCTGTATAGATTTATTCTGTTATCAAACATATATGTAAAGAATCTTTATGGAGAAAATACAGTTGGGGGATATATTGGGAGACAAACTATAGAAATCCTAGAAAATATAATAAAAACCTCTAAATAAAAGACAATATCGGTGACATGTTATATATGGAAATACATTATTTATTTATAGCACCATTTAATGATAGTAATTACCATTGGATTACAGCATTATTCATTTCTATTTATTATCCCTCGTATGCTAACACACCGGCACAACCTCCATTTCTAAGCCTTTCCCATTTTCCTGCCTCTTCCAGAGAAACTGGACAAGTTAACATCCAATTGCCCAGTTTTGTTACATTTAGGGCGGTCAGGTTTGGGCTAATGACATATAAAGCT